GAAAGAGACACTGATTTGTTTAATGCAGGAGACACACAGTCCCTTCCTCGTTTGTTTCCATACTTCAGGGATTAATATAAGTGCTGGGGTTTTGTTGTACAGATTGATAAAACTATCAAAGGCCAAGCTATTGTCCAAAACAGGATAATTTCACTAGCTTTGAGAGTATTTGTCAAAAATATGTTTTCCTAACTTTTTTTTTTTTTTGCAAAATAACCTAATTAGCCTGATGGTCATAATTTCATACTTACTGGAAGCCAGTTCCGTCTCCTTTTTTGTTTATTTTAAAAAAGTTTACATTTCTTATTTTAATATTTATTTATTTATTTGAGACAGGACATTATTCTGTCCCCCAGACCGCAGTGCAGTGGCACAATCACAGCTCACCGCAGCCTGGACTTGCCAGGCTCAGGTGATCCTTCCACCTCTGCCTTTTGAGTAGCTAGGACTACAGGCGCCCAACCGCCACACCCAGCGAAGTTTTGTATTCTTTGTAGAGATGAGGTTTTGCCATGTTTCTCAGGCTGGTCTCAAACTCCTTGGGCTCAAGCAGTCTGCCCACCTGAGCCTCCAAAGTGTTAGAATTACAGACGTGAGTCACTCCATCCGGCCTCTCATTTTTTGTTTCTATCCCTCCATTTTTCTTGGGCTAGATGACATTGACTCACTATTTTTCAGAAAAGAAAATAGAGGTTCAGAGAGGTTAACTGACTTGCCCAAGTTCACACTGCTAACCTATATAGCAGGGCCAGGACTCAACTCAGACTGTGAGATGCGGCCGGTGTTCGGAACAAAAATGTGCCTCATTGTGTTACCTCCCTCAGGATCAAGGAGAAAGGAGAGAAACTTGGGGATCATCAGACCAGCCATGCCAGAGCTCACAGCATTCTTACTCAGTCCCACGAGTCTACAGGGTGTCAGCACTCAGATGGATTTTGGAAACAATCCAGTCTCACCCCTCGATTAACAGATGTGGAGACTCAGGCCCAAAGAGGAAAAGTGATGTGTTCAAGGTCACACAGATTAGTGGCAATGCCTAGACTTGAACCAAGATGAGCAGAGTCTGGTGCACTGCAACATTCCACCTTCCTCCTCCACAGCAGGTGCAGGGAGGGTCCACCCTTCTGGTCACTACAGCATGTTGCAGTTTTCTGTGCCAGTGCCCTTCCTCTTAGGAAGAAACATTTCTGGGCTGGGGTAGCTAGCTCCCCCTTTTAGCCATGTAGAATTTCTCTCTGGGCATTTTAGGTAGGAGTGCTGTCTATATTTCTTAAGTGTCTGAGTCTACCTTGGCTACAGAGATGAATTAGGAAAAATTCGTCTCTCCTGTGGATGTGGGCAGAGTTCTCCATGCACAATAAAGTGTGAGTGAAAAGCAGCAAATGCTATTAGCAGCAGGGCAAGCCGAAACTGCTGTGCCCTTTTTTAAATGTCCTCAGTCGTCTTCAGACCCATCCATGTAATTATCTTCTAAGTGCATTCTCAAAAATGAGATTTTAAATTTCAGGGTCTATTTACAGCCAGATGATCATAATACTCCCCTGCTCAAAAAGCTTCGATGACCCCTATGCCTTGAAATTAAAGTCACAAATTCCTCTCTCATCATCCAAGGCCACTTGTGATCTGGTCAAAATCTATTTCTAGTAGTATTACCCACTGTTTCCTTTCCAGGCACTCAACTCAGTCTACCTCCAGCAGATTAGATTTCCTAGAAATAACTGCTCCTCCTTCTACATCCCATGAACAAAAGTTTTCTGAAAAGGAATCTGGAGGAAAGAGACTATTTCAGTGGACAGTTTGCAAAACTGGGTGTTAGGTTTTGAAGGGAAGGCGAGGGTTAAAGAAAGACACACATAAGGGGGTGGCTTAATAGCAAATGCAGGCTTTATGTCCAGCATAAAACCTATAGAAGTTAGGGACCAGCATAATGCCAGAGCCCAATGCTGCTTACAAGCCTGGGGCAATTTATAGCTATGGGCCGAAGGGGTCTGGGCAGTGTGGCTTGCTGCCTGGGCCTGGCAGGATGTTGGTAAGATGTTCCCATGCTAAGACGGTTCTGGCCCTTGTGCCAGTGGGATTTCGTTGTGGTGTTCTGGGTGTTCCTCGGACCTTTGTCTAGCAAGATATAATAGAGATGTGTCTTTGGTTCGGCCTTTGTCTGCCTTGTGGTTAGGTGGTTAGGCAGACTGTTTCTCACACCTGAACCCCTGTTTCAATTTGACCAAGGTCTGCAAAATAGCAGAGAGAGCTTACAACATGGTGCAGTTTGGACTAACACCGAGAGACCAGACTTCACTGTAAAATGAAAGTGTGTTCAGAGAACAAAGAGAGGAGTCGGGCTTTATAGCAAAATTTGCTGCCCAGGTTCCCCATCAGGTTCATTTGCATTGGCTTTCTTCGGATGCAGCTGAGCCCTGATTAACCGAGCAGATGAGCTCTGATTGATTGGTTTCCAAGCCCTAAACTGGGAGTCTCTGTCAGACTGTTGCTGGCTGGTGGTGGGAGGGGCCCAGCAGCAGTTTGTCCCGGGAACAACAGCAGGCGCGGGTTTGGCTTGATTGCGAAAAGAGGGGTCCTGTGATGCTCTTACATCTTTCTGAGAACACAGAGTACGTGACCGCTCCCACACCTGGCTGTAGCCACTGGGTTTCTGTTTTAAATGTGAGTACCTCAGTGAGTCATAGGGAGTCCATTTGGTCTATGAGCCCAATAAAGTGGATATACTTTAATATTCCCAATCCTGCTCTCTCTTGACAAACCACTTTCTCTGCTCAAATACAGATACTGGAGTGTGTATCTTTCCTCCCCTTAAGGACAGGACCTCTCGGGCTTACTTTTATTAGCCCCACCTAGGAGAGAGCCCGGCACATGTTAGGTCTTAATCAGCACTGAGCAAATGAATGACTGCGTTCATTCATTTACCCTTCCCGGTTCCATGCCTGGGAAGAATGAGCTACCTCTGAAGATGGGTAACGTCTTGAGATTTTCACAAAAGAATATAAAGCTAGCACGTCGAAGACAGTGTGATACTCCTCTGTTTTTAGTTTGTTGTTTTTTTTTTTTCCTGAAAGAAACACAGCACATTAGGAGTTGAGATGATGGTATTGACTGTCCTTGTGGTTTGTGTGCAATTTTTAACCAGGATTCATGGCTGGGGAAACAAAAGCACTTCTTTGCCTGTATAACTTTGTTCCCTTCCTTTATTACTTCAAATAGGCAAGATGTGGTTTGCATTCATTTCACTGCTAATGTTGTTCAGATATTGCTCTCAGAGATCACTAAAGATCTCCTCTCCCCTTACACATTCCACTCATTTGTAACCCAGATCCTCAGTGCGGCTAATGGAGAGCCGCTCAGCCCCGTAACTTCTGTGCATAAAGCAGTAGGTAGTGGGTCCAGTTGTGTTAAACAGTAGGTAATATCGGTATCTTTTAACCTTACTATGAGAATCTTAAAGACGGAAGCATTATCCTATGCTTATGATTGCTGTAGACAAGAATGTGCACCAATCCTCCCAAGAGTATAGAGATCATCACCATCACCATTGTAAGGCGACAGCTTTTTACAGTTCACATACCTTTTTCCTGGTTATTCTCCCTCTTAGTCACTGCAAAAGTCTCGGGAGATAGGTGTGAATCTTTCTAGGGCACAGCTGAAAAAGTTAAATGTCTCGTCCTAGAGCACACAGCTCAGCAGCACCAAGAATGAAATGTTAAATCTGGTGTTTTTCCCTCTATGCTGTAGTGAAGCTCCACTGGAGATTTACCAAAGTCCTTGATATTTTAACCTAGCTATCAACTTCAGCCCAGAGAAAATCTTCCAAAAGTAGATTCATCCATCAACCATAACCTTAACTCTGAAGCCAGGAACTAAAAAGAACTTCTCAAGCTAACGCAATTGTCATGAAGTCTCACTTCCAGGACCAATTATAATCTGGATTTTTTGTCTTCATCCTCCCAGATGTCTCTGATCCCACTGTAACCAAACCCTGAATCCTAGGGCATTTCTTCTGCTTATTTCACTCTTTCTGTACATATTTTCCAGGCACTTCCACCACTCATCACCCTCCAAAAGGTGCTGATCCCTAAGCTTGTGCAGTGATTAATGATTTTCATGTCTTTTTCATATGCCTGCAGTTATGCTACAAGCTCTCTTGGCAAAGGACTAGCCAGGTATGCCTAATATACACATTTGTGTGATTTAACAAACTGGTTTCTACCACTTTCAGCCTGAAGTGACAGTGCTTTTTAACGTTGGTTGCTGGCAGGGGGCTGTTGCCTCCTCCCAAGCGCTTCAGCTGCCTTGCACGGCCTCTCCTTGGCTTCTGTCTGACCCTGCCAGCAGCTCTTCATGGGACCCATCCTGACCCTCAAAGAAATCAGAAAAGGGGGTTCCTGATGCAAAAAGGGCTTTCATCTGAGGAAGGTGAGTCCTTTTTAAACTATGAGGCCTAAAGAGACGTTAAAATGAGATCACACCTTGCTGCCCGCTTTGAGTTATCTATGCATCTCTTAAAACTGCTTGCTATTGCCACAAGTAGCCATCAATTACTTTTAATTTAGGACAATTATTATAGTGTCTCACCAGAAGTATAAGCCACATCTTATAACTTAACAATAACCAATTGCTCATCAATTTTATTTCTGTAATCCAAAGAGAGTTTCTGATCCACAGTTTTGTACCAGCCCACTCTCTGTCCCAGTCCTTTGTCTTTAAAAACCTGCCGGTAACAAAGGCTCTAGGAAGCTCACAGCCAAGAGTACTTGGGTCTGAGTCTTCCAGGCAGCTGTCCTCACTTTGACTCAAGTAAACTCTTTAGATTCTACTTTGTGTCTCAGCCTCTTCCTTTCGGGTCAGCACTGGGGGGAGTAAATGAAGGCCCCTGCTCCTTCTCTGTCTGAAGCTTGGACTTCTCCTGAGAGGACTTCCTATTCCAAGATAGGAGGGAGTCTCACTCAGGAGAAGAAGGAGCTCCTGCCTCTGAGGACACGGTTCCATTCAATGAGGTCAGCAGGACTGTTGGCAGCTTCTGTTAATTCTGTTGGGGCAGGCACGTGGCAAGTGGCAGTTATTTGAGCTGAGGATGCTGGGATGGATTTTTACATGAGCGGTTGGCCCTTACATCATGAGACCAGCCTAAGTGTCCGAGGAAATGGAACAGCAGGGAGGGGGACATCACACCCACCACCAAAACTTCTTGTTAATCTCTGGCTTCCACATCCTTCCCCAAAACTTCAGCCCGATTCACAGCCTCATTTTTCCATCTTTTCTCCATTCCTCCATGGGAGAGCTTTCTGTTGGTACAGGAAGAGCTGCGAAGTGGGAAAGATCAAGGGTAGTAAGAGCTGCCCCAGATAATCTACAGAAAGCTTTGCTGGAATTGGGTTGTGCATCTCTGAACCTGAGCTAGATCTGTTGGGTCAGGGACCATACTTATTTACTGACCCAAGAATTAAAAGAGCAGGTGACTAAGAAATGCTTGTTTGATGAATAAATAAACAGCTGACTGTTTCTATGAGCCTGAAAACTGCCTGCACCAGCACAAAAGTAAAGCCCCAACATCCTCAGGTCACACCTACTAGAAAAATATATGTCAACCCCAGAATAATGTGGGCGACGTGAGGCAAGTCCGGAGCAACACAGGAAACTGCCTTCCTCTTCCGTCTTCTCTTCCACCGTGATGCTAAAAATCTCATTAAGGCTGGTCATCTAATCAGGATGTAAGAGGGTCATTCTCTGTGGCCATTCCAGTTTCCTGGAAACTTGGCTTTCTCCTGACCATTGCCCCATGAGCGTGGTGCTGACAAGCTTGAGCTCTGACATCAGAAAGTCCCCAGTTTGAAACCTCTAGCTTCTTGCTAGCTATGAGACTCTGGGCAAATTAATCTCTCTCAACCTCAATTTCTCAATCTGTAAAATGTTCAAGGTCAAGCAACTCACTTTCCCACATTGTAATTGATGAAACTAAAATTCAGACTCAGATCTGCCTCACTCCACAGTGTGTGCTTTTTCCTTCCCACTCATCTTTTTCTCTTTCTATTAAGAATTTCGTAACACGTTTGAGATTCTGTCTCAACTCATATCACTAAGATCATCTGTCACGTCTGATGATCAAATAGAAGCCAGACTAAGATTCAGTCACAAATGTTATGGCTAAACCTTTCTTATTATTTCTTCTTAATGTTTTTCATTTATACAGTAAAACTTGTATCCTAGTATTATTGGCAGGCTAACTTATGCCCATGAGACATGTAGCTTAAATCTCTATATGGGATAGGAGAAATATTCTCCCTTTGTTTGTGATTTGAAAGCTTTCCATGAATGCTAAAGCGATTTGTTAAGATATCTTCACCTGTAAGTATTTTTTCCCTCTTAAAAGCCAAATTCATCTCTGAGTTTTACTAAAATAATCTAATTTGCTCATTTTCTCTAACCATTCCAAGCTAAATCCCAGGAAATACTAAAGAAGCAATGCACAGACACAGTATCATACAATGTGAGACACAGTATTACACAATTGATGTGAACTTCTAGGCACAGTGTGCTCACAGTCTGTCCAGAAATAACTTTGTGGCAAGCATAGCTCCAGTCTAGCTGCCTGGCAGCCTGGCAGGATATTATTATTACTGACACTAATTTACTTTTTAATGTAAATTTACCCAGAATATATTAAAGAAGTTTCAAGAAATCAAAATCAGGGATTATAACCTGACATAGTTCTAAGGAATCACCGGTTCCATGTTAGTTTAGCATTTGGTTAGCTTTTTCAAAGTCCATGCTTGAGAAACATTTTCGCTCTCCCAATCAGAGCATTGTAGTTTTTTTTTTTTTTTAGCATACTATTGTGCAGATAAATAAATGAGGTATTAATGCCATTGCAAGTTCTGGCTTTGTGTAGGGTTTTCTAATGAAGCCTATTTAGGATCCTGGATTTGTCCAAGCTGTTCTGATTATCCCATCATTTTTAATATGGATAATCTACAATCTCTCATCTATTACATATGTTAAATTCTGGCACAAGTTCAACTGCTCTTCATTGAAACTGAGAAAAATTTTAGGATTACTTTGCTAGAATCCAAAGATGTTAAATAGTACCAAAAAAAAAAAAAAAAAAAAGCAAAACCAAGAATCTCTGAGGCATCCTTAAGAACTCCCCTTGCATGTTCATTAGACAACCCTTTACCCAATGCATCTCTAATAGTCTGCTGAAAACACTCAAAGGCAGGTAATTTTCATGTAATCAACTAAATAAAGTGTTTAACAAATATGGCAAGTATTAATATTTTTAACTGTTTAAGTAAACTGTTTATGTAAAGTACAAATATTAATATTTTTAACTGTTTATGTAAAGTGCAAAAGAGTTATTGATTAGGAGAGTAGCTCTGAAGCTGAACAGCCTCGGTCTAAATCCCAGTTCTGTCATCAACAAGCTCCATTACTGTTGATAAGTTATTTCGATTATCGATGTCTTAGTATCTTTCCTTATAAAATAGAGGTGATGATCGCTGCCATCTAATAGCACTGTAGCGATCATATACACAGAGCTTACCATACTAATTGACATTCAAAAATAGTAGCTCTCAAAAAATTATTATTGGAAATTTGAGAAAAAGAATCACACTAAAAAAGGATAAAAGGCATTGAAAATAATTCCCCAAAAAGAAAATAAAAATTTCTCAAATCATATAGGACTTATTTTTTAACATTAAGAGGATTCCAACTAATTCAAATTAAATGGATAAGATGCCTTATCTTCACTATGAGAGTCCAATAGCTTGTTTTCTTATTTCAATGAAAATATGTAACGATGGTGAAGATTCAGTGAGAAAGGCGCTTTCATACTAGCTGCTGGAATTCTACATTGACACAACATATTTGGTGAGCAATACGACAATCAGAAGACTAAAAGAATGTTGCATATTTTGTCTTGGCAATTCCTCTTCTGGGAATCTTTCTTAACTGAACAATTCCTAATTCAAAAGCTGCTTACTATGTAGTTATACACGAAGACATATGCTACAAAATTATTAATTACTAGGAAAACAAAACGAAATCATCTATATATTATATAATAAAAGAATAACTAAATTTCATGTAGTCACATAAAGATATGTTTATGCAGCAGAAAATTGGTATTTATGAAAAGATTGGCATAATACAGAGACAAGTTTTCTTAGTTATCATGAAGAGAAAAGTATGACAGCCATCATGAAAAATATTCATTAAAAATTAGAGGAAAATAAATTATCTCTCTGTGTGTCTATCTATCTTTCTATCTATATTTTGAGATTCTGTTTTATAACTGAAGTATGGACTCTGTGACCCTCCCCTAAAAGTCTGTTCATCTCTTTTTCAGTCAAGACTGTTGACCACTTTTTCACAACAGCCAGTAGACGTCAGTGACCATTAACCACTTTTCTCATGCATTCTATTTTCCATATTTCCAAAATACTTTCCCTTAAGCTGAATACAACTTCTCCCTCTGCATCTGTTTTCCATGAGCATATCTGGATTCACTGGTATATCTATCACTTCCATGTCCTTTTCAGGATTGGTGAACCATGTCATCATTTCCTGCTCCTTGCAGAAACTTCTTCTCAGTCCCTGGTTTTGAGCTTGTGTATCTGTCTCTCTCTTCTGTTTTTATTTTAGGTTCAGGGGCACAAGTGTATGTTTGTTAGACAGGTAAACTCATGTCACAGGGGTTTGTTGTACATATTATTTTGTCTTCCAGGCTCTAAACCTACTACCCAATAGTTATTTTTTCTGGTCTCCTCTCTCCTTCGACCTTCTACTCTCAAGTGGGCCCCAGTTTCTGTTGTTCCCTTTGTTGTCGCCGTGTGTTCTCATTATTTAGCTCCCACTTATAAATGAGAACATTTGGTATTTAGTTTTCTGTTCCTTTGTATGTTTGCTAAGAATAATGGCTTCCAGCTCTATCCATGTCCCTGCAAAAGACATGATCTAGTTCTTTTTTGTGACTGCAGAGTAGTCCATGGTGCATAGGTACCACATTTTTTTAAAAAATCTGGTCTGCCATGGATAAACATTTAGGTTGATTCCATGTCTTTGCTGTTGTGAATGGTGCTGCAATGAACATGTGTGTATGTATGTCTTTATGGTAGAACAATAAATCACAATGTTAATGGCAGTTTGTGGAATTAATTTGAGGTAATTTCTTATGCTTTTCTTTATATTTTTCAAATATTCTACAATGACAATACCTTGCTCCTCTAGTAATATGAATGTAAGCATATAAATAATTAAAGTTACCTGGTTAATCTCACTTGTTGTCTCTGAACTTTGTGTCTCCCTGCAAAGGCAAATCTCCTGAATAAATGCTTACTTAGCACGTGCATCTACTTGGAATCGAACATCTGAAATAGTTACTGTTTGTGGTGCACTGACTGTAACTTCAAACTTGGGCAGCACTAGAAACAAAGAGAAATATACTTCAGTCCCCATAAACACTGGTGAGCAAAACTTATTGCAATCATATAGCTTAAGGTGCTTGCCGGCACCAGCTTTCACTGTATGTCCATCTGGACAGATCATGTTCTGTTGCCCCAGATTCCGTGTGGCACCAGTCTACATGATGGTGTCTCACTAGTCATTAACTCTTCCTCTTTCTTTTCTCTGTCCTCAGAATTCCAAGTTTTTTCCATTGTAATCTCTAAGATCTCTCCTGGCAGATAGGGCTCTAGAAAATGTATATTTTCTAGGGAGAAAAAAAGGCAGAAATCAGAATAAGGATACTGGGGGAGGAGTGAGGAGCAGGAAAATGCTGATGATGAAGCCAACCAGGCCAAGGAAGGGAGATGAGAAAAACCAGATTCAAGCTTCACGTACTCCTGCCTATGTCTAACATCAAAGGTGTTTTGTTCCATCCTTTGAGTCCTTTATCTACATAGGAAAACTACAAATAGCAATTGGTTACCCTGCACCTTGACAGTAAATTGGTGTGTCAGTGTCTTTCCTGATTTTCTTTTCACAACAATTGAGTAACCTCCAAACACTGTTTCTGAAGTCAACGGGAATGAGAGGAATCGTACGGTACGGACTGTTTTGTGACTGGCTTCCTTCTTTCCACATTATGTCTGTGAAATTCATCCATCTTGTGGCAGACAGGAGGAGCTCACTGCCTTTCACTGTCTTGTAATCTTCCATGGTCTGAGCACCCCACACTGTATCCATTCTATTCCTTCCACTTTTTGGTGATGATGAATGAAGCTTCTCTGAATATTTTTGTGTATGACTTTTGGTGAACATAAATGCTCATTTCAGTTTGGTAGATACGTAAGAAATTGAATTGCTAGGTCATAGTTTTTTCTTACATGTAGCTTTAGTAGATACTGAAAATTTCTTGTAGTTGTAGTTCAAGTTACACGCCCACCAAGTGCAGACAAAAGCACTAGTAGCTCCACACTCTTGCCAACACGTGGTATTTTCAGTCCTTTTCATTCTAGTGCATCTGGGGAATGCAGTGCTATATAACCTGCATTTTCTTTTCTTTCTTCTTCTTCTTCTTTTTCTTTTCTTTTTCTTTTTCTTTTTTTTTTTTTTTTTTGTTGTTGAGACATGGTCTTACTCTGTTGCTAAGGCTAGAGAACAACGGTGTGATCATAGCTCACTGCAGCCTCCACCTCTTGGGCTCAAGGAGTTGTCCCTCCTTAGCCTCTGGAGTAGCTGGGAGCACAGACATGCACAGCATGCTCAACTTAATTTGTATTTTCTTGATGGTTAATGAAGTTGAACAGTTTTTCATACACTTAATGGCTGTGTGAATAGCCTCTTTTGTGAAATACTTTTTAAACATTTGGCCCTTTTAAAAAGATTTTTATTGTCTGTCATTTGTTATTAATCTGTGGGATTTCTTGATATATTCTGGATGCGACTTGCTTTGAAAGACCTGTATTATGATAATCTTCTGCTCTGTGGCATGTCTTTTTATCACATAATGATATTTTTTGATGAACCATATATTTTTTATTTTAATAAAGTTCAATTTATTAATCTGTTTTTACTATATTTTATTTTTAACAACCTTGTCAATATATTATTTATTATTTTTGTTTATTTACTATTTTTGTAGTTAGTGATTTTTTGTATAAAAAATAATTGCCTATCCCTTTGTTATAAAGATAATCTTATTTTTTTTAAAAAAATTCTAGACCTTCTTTTCTTCAATATACCATGCTTAACACAGATTGACTTTTTTTACCCTTCATGGTTTGGTCTAGGATCCATCTCAGATTTTTTTACATCAGGACTGAGGTGGAGAGTCATGGTTTCTATTTTTCTATATGGATGTGTGGTTAGCCCAAGGCCATTTATTGAAAGACCACCCTCTCCCCACTTAACTGTGCCGTCTCTCCTGTGTCATCTGTCAGGTGTTACTGCCTTTTCACGTCTGTGCACTCTTGTTTGCGCCATTGGTCTTAGAAATTTATCCTTGTGCCAGCACTTCAGCATCTTAGCTACTGCAGCTTTAAAAGAAGTGTTGTTGTCTAGCAGTTAAGTCCTCCAGCTTTGTTCTTCTTTTTCAGGGCTGCCTTGGCTGTTCTTGATTCTTTGATTTTCCACGTATACTGCAGAATCATCTTCAATGTATACCAAAAAAAAATGCTGGGATTAATTGGCATTCCACTGAATCCGTACATCAAATTAGAAAGATTTGGCATCTGAAAATATTGAGTCTTCCAATCCATGAACATGATGTAATCCTCCATTAATTAGGTATTTCTTTAATTTTTTTCTCAGCAATGTTTTGTGTTTCATATTTTTCAGTGTAAAGGTCTTGCCTGCCTTAGTTTGATTCCTAGGTATTTTTTGGTTTTGGTACTATTGTAAATGCTCCTTTCAAAAGTGTATTTTCCAATTGTTTATTGCCAGTATATGGAATGCAATTGATTTAGGGGGGTTATTTATTTTAATTGTGATATAGATAACATAAAATTTACCATTTTAACCATTTTTAATTGTACAGTACAGTGGCATTAAGAATACTCACATTGTTGTGCAACAGTTCAACTGATTTTTAATATCAGTTTTGTTGAGGTGTGACTGACGTGTTAAAATTTGCCAGCTTTAGGTGTGCAGCTCAATGAGTTCTGATAAATGCATGCAGCCACATGGTCGTCACAATGAAGACTCCAGCATCCTTCAGAGTTCCCGTGTGCCCATTAGGGCTCCTCCCCCGCAGCCTCCCTCCTGGCCCTCATATCCACAGACCTGCTTTCTCACACTGTCATTTTGCCTTTTCTAGAATTTCAGGTAAAAGAATCCTACAGCAGGTACCTTTTGTGTCTGGCTCCTTTCACTTTGTGTAAAGCTCTTGAATGTTAGATGTGTATCAGTAAGTTCCCCTGTTTTATTACTGAATATATTCCACTGTATGGGGATACCACAGTTTTTTTAATCTATTTATCAGCTGAAAGCCACTTGGGCTGCTGTCAGTTTCTGGGGAGCAGGAGGAAGCTGCTGGAACATTCTTGTACAGATTGTTGTATGGAAATCTGCTTTCATTTGTCTTGGATAAACACTTAGAGGAAGAATTGCTGGGTACCATATTTGACTTTATAAGGAAATGCTAAACTGTTTTCCAGAGCAGCTGTGCCATCTTGCATGTCCGTCAGCACCATGTGAGTTCCCCTGTGCTGCAGCCTTGCCAACATGGATGTGTTTTTCAATTTCACCTGTTCTACTGCGGATGCCATTGTGGTTTCAGGCTGCATTTCCCTAATGAATGATGATGTTCTGAATCTTTTCAGGCATTTTTTTTTTTTTTTTGCCATGTTGTATACTTCTCTGGTGAAGTGCCTGGTCAAGACTTTTACCCATGTAAAAAAATCAAACTGTTTTCTTATTGATTTATAAGATATAAGCCAGGCATAGTTGCATTTGCCTGTAGTCTTAACTACTTGGAAGCCCAAAGCAGGATGATCACTTGAACCCAGGTGTCTGAGGTCAGCCTGGGCAACATGGTAAGACCCTGTCACTAAAAAATAAAAAAAATTAAAGATATATGTATATCTCACCATGCTAGGCTGAATGATGGCCTCCCAAAGATGTTCACAACCTAATCTGTAAAAACTGTGAGTTTCTTACCTTACCTGGCGAAAGGGACTTTGCAGATATGATTCAACTAAGGACGCTGAGATGGGGAGATCCTCCTGGATTACCTGGCAGTGTCTGATGTAATCACTGGAGTCCTCATGGGAGGGAAGCAGAAAGGCCACAGTCAGAGATGGAGAAGTGGCCATAGAAGCAGAGGTCCGTGTGCTGTGGGACCATGAGCCAAGAAACCCACACCACCTCTGGGAGCTGGGAAAGGCAAGGGAGCAACGTCTCCCCGGAGCTCCAGAACGAGCCAGCCCTGATGACACCGTGACTTCAGCCCTCAGAGACTGACTGTGGACATCGGACCTCTGTGACTGTAAGATCCTAAGCTGATGTTTATTTGTGGGATTATGAACTCTTTCTTCAGTGGAGGACTTGAAGCTGGCTCTTCTGACTTTAAGGCTTTGTTGAATTATTCCTACCATTGTTTGGGGTGGAAGGGAGCAGGGTATCTCAGGTGGTGGGAACGGTGTGAGGAAGCCCCCAGGCAAACATGAGCACTGCCGCCTGGGGAGCAGGCACCTCTCAGATAAAGCAGTGTGTGCTGGGTCAGTGGGAGGTGAGGTCCATCTGGTGGATCCACTAGGCTTTGGAAGCAGAGAGTCTGGGCTGGAGATGGTGAGAAGCCATGTTGTGGTTGAAGTGCTTGGGGGGTTTTCAGAAGGGTCAGGGCTGCCGGCCCAGGCAGGAGCAGGTGCTGGGGAGACAGCACTTGCCTGCCTCCCTCCCTGGGCTCTGAGGAGGCATTCCGTGTGTGCTGTTCATTATTATTCCAGAACAGCGCTGCCAAGTTCCGTGGACCAAGCTGCTTCTGTGAGTGAGCGGTAGGGAATCCAGGAGAGTAAGGCCATCTCATTTCTCAGGGACCCTCTGGCTCACTGGATGGCCTCATCCCTTAATCTTCTTCAAACGGGTGCTGGCCTCGCTGAAGACATTCTGAGCTGGCGCCGTCAGCCTGAGCAGCACTTCACTCCAGTCCACCCGCACTTCACTCTGGAGTGCACCCTGAAAAGACATGGATTTTGTTCAAGGGTGAAGTCATGTTTGCCTCTGTCTGGGAGCTGGAATGTATGCAGTGGTCATCTTTGCTGCTTCTGCCCCGGTGCCACACTCTGAAGAGTGAGAACATAGACAGGGTGGTCGATGGCTTCACACTCCTGTCTCCCCACCAGGATCTCTGGCTGAGACTCAGGGTCGGAGAAACCAGGGTGCCTCCAGACCACAGAACAATGAATTTTCTGTTCTCTTTTAAACTTCTTCCCAGCCTAGGGCAGTTCAAGGTCAGCTTCTTTCAGGAAGCCTGCCCTGATAGTGCCACCTAACTACAAACACTTATTTTCTGTGCTGCGTATTTTCAGTGCTAAGTGATCGCGCATTCAACCTTTCATGACACATGGTCTCCTGTGGTTCTCTAGTCTTTCTGGAGAAGCAAGTGTGAGATGGATGCCTCATCCGGTGAGGTTACAGAACTTCTGAGGACGGGGAGCAATCTTTCTTCATTTGTACCATGTCTCACCAAATAGATGATAAACCACTGGAGGACAGGTACTGTTTGACATGGAAATAAAGTTTATGGTGCCCTCCTGATCATTGTTCAGTAAACTCTTCAGGGAAAGGAGTGCAGAGATCATTCGTTAATTGGAAAAGGTATTTCTTGTCTAGTGGGGTGGATTCCTAAATTTAGGGCAAAATGTGTCATGCAGCTCTAATTTTCTACACCATGAGAAGGTAGTCCCTTTTACTTCTTTCATGTACAATCCATGCATTTGTTCCACAGACATCTGATGTTGACTGAATGCCCTGTGCAATAGAGATTGAGGATTCAAAGGTGAACAACAGGTGATCTTTCTCTGCAGGTGGTTATCTCTGTGCACATCACTCACAAATATCCATCTACAGTCCCAAGCTCCTTCCCCTAATCCATGTCTTCTGTTAGGTCTTGGGCAAACTTTCCAGATGTCAAGATGCAGACAATTAGACCTGCCGCCCCAAGAGGAGCTGGGATAATGCTACTCCTTTCGAGGAGGGGCACATGATATCGCCTGACCTGCTGAAGCAGTGGACAGAGAGGGGTTTGGGGGACACTAACTGGAAAAGCTAGCCCTCCCCACCTGTGTGTCTTGTAGCTGTTGGCTCCGCATCCACGGATTCAACCATGTGGGGTAAAACTACTCAAACAACATTGCACATGTGCTGAACATGTACAAGCTTTTCTTTTTATCATAATTCCCTAAACAACTATTGACAAAGTATTTACGTTGAATTAGGTATTACAAGTAACCTAGAGCTTATTGAAAGTGCATGCAGGGTGTGCGTAGGTTGTCTGCAAATGCCACACCATTTTATATCAGGGGCTTGAGCACCTGTGCTGTTGGTATCTTCAAGGGAGGACACTGAAACCAGTCTCCAACAGATACTGAAGAATGACAGTATGTGGGTTCTGACAGAAAGGTAAGAAACCCCGAATGTCAGAAATAACCTCCTAACAGTAGGAAGCTGAGTTAAAATCAGAAAAAGCCAGTGGTTAAATTAAGTCTTTCTATACACAAAAGTAAACCACATGTTCTACAGCCATGGAGGAAAAACTCAGTGATTACCCAATGAAGTGAATAAAAGCTGCAGTGATAGTGACAACAACACAACAACAGGTTATCTTGAGAAGCAAGATCTCATTTAGCATTTGTTAGAGGGAGCCAGAGCCACTAAGGATGCAGCCTTCTTTGGAAGCACTGACCTGGTCCCTGCACCCATGGACATGGGAATAGTGTGGGAGCTGGCAGGGTCTCAGCAACCTCTCAATCCAGTGTGTCTCCTTAGACGGCATCCATCTCCCCCATTCTCCATCAGCTCCTTTTCCAGCTTCCCCTTCCTGCACTTGTTTTTGCAAGGCTGGCAGGGAGGTGTCTGGGCTTACGACAATGCCTCACATTGCCAGGAGACGGCAGCAGATCATTCTCCCATCCTAGGTGCCTCTTCGGCACTGTCCAGGATTCCAGTGAATTTTCAAGGGTTATTGAGGGTTCATGGGAGCCAGGCTCTGTGCCAGGCTCTGGGAATGCAAAGCCGACTGAGATATGGGGCTCTGCTCTGCAGGAGTTGGTGGTCTGAAAGGGTGAGGCAGCCATGGAAACAGATACAGGGCCAAACAGTGGGGTCAAACGCTGGGGCAGAAGGCCCTTCAGGGGACTGCGGGATCCCCAGGAAGTGGGGAGAGGAGGGGGTCTCAGAAAACACCCAGCAGGAAGAGGTGCTTGAGCTGAGTCTTGGAAGCTGGCAAGCTTTCCTGGTTCCTAGGCCAGGCAGGGCACCCCAGGCAGGGCACCCCAGGCAGGGGAGCTGGGCTGAGTGCGACACCACAGGGCAAGCTGGGGCTTGAACACAGGGTGCTGAGGGCAGGAGGGGTCTCAGGGAGGGGAGGATCATGGAGGGCTGTCCTGCATGGCCATGCTAAGGAGTCTGGACCAAGGCCTTGACAAGCACCGAAGGGTTTCATTAGGAGAATGACCAGAGCAGACCTGCACTTTAAAATGACAGCTCCGTTTGGCCCGTGGAGGACAGACATGGCAGGATGGAGAAGGGCGGGCCTGAAGGCCGCTGGCCCAGTCAGCTTGGCTTGAGCTAGGCGGAGGGAGCGAGGGCGGTGGTCTGAACTAAGGTAGGAGCAGTGGGAAGGGAAGTAGGGTGAGCGAGGTGGAAATGACACGTTCTGGTCTTTGGGGCCGGATGAGGGCAGAGGTCTCCCAGGTTTCTGGCTTCAGTGGCTGGTGTAAGTGTCGGTGGCAGCTGAACACAAGGGTGAAGGAGCGATCTCGGGAGAAAGATTAGGAGTCATTGACAAATGTGGGGCACCTCCCCAGCCCCTACTATTTCATTTCCCACTGCACGCTCTAATCTAGATCCCTGCTATTTTTCACTGGTTTTGAGACAGTGCCTTCCTGTTGGGTCTTATAAGATCCAGTCTCTCTTCCTGTTGGAAGAGCCTGTGAATTCTTTCTTTCACTGCATGTTGATGAACAGCCTTCCAGGGGCAGGCACTCTGATGAGTTCCTTCTCCCATAGAGCTCCTGGCCTGGCACAGAGGAGATAGATGGTGAAGCTGATGGTTGCAGTTCAATATGCAGTGTGGTCTCATAAGTGAAGAACAGGCTACAAGGAGAACATTCCAGGAGGGGCCTGCGATCTGGACTTCAGAGTGTTGAGAAGGTTTCCTAAAGAAATTGTCTGGGCTCAACTGGATGTACAGGAGCTCCTAAGTGACAGGCTGTGGAGAGGGGCTCCTGTGGGGCTGGAAGGAGCCAGTGCAGTGCCCAACCCTGTGGCATAGAACGTGAGAGGTGGGCAGCTTCCTCTTGAGAGGATGCCGGGAGTGGTCAGCAAGGATAATGGTGGTGGGGCCTGACGGGGCCAGCTTGCATCAAGCTGGGTGGAGCACGAGTAGCTCCAGGCCTCCCATAGTGCACAGATCCTCAGGCCTGGAGGGGTGTCCTTCTAAAGGAGCATTCCCAGTTTCTGACGAATGAGGCCTTCGTCTCTGGCTGGAGTTGGAGTGGGTCTGTGTCTGGAGCGGGCACTTGGGCTCTGGGAAGAGGCTACAAATTCTAGACTAGGCTGGACAAACTATGGCCAGGTCCTGTCTTATCAGAACGCACCTTCATACCTTCCTTCATGTTTAAATTGTTCTTTATTTAACATGGTTTATTTAAATGGTTGCTTTAGTGAGTTGAGTATTTGCAACAGAGATTACATGGCCTGCAAAGCCTTCAGACATTTCGTAACTGTCTAACTGGCTTTTTATGGAAAAGGTTTCTGAAGCTCTGCTCTAAACTGGCAGGCAACTTTCTCAGAGATAGTTCAGGTCTAGTCTCCATGTGTGGACAAGATGAGCCCATACCCCAAAGCTGGATCTCCCAAAACGCATGTCTGTCTCAGGTCTTATAAAACTGTGATTCATTGAGCGTGTGAACATACATATGGTCATGTGTGAATACACATGTGGTCACGTGAGCATACATATGGTCATGTATTAACATGCATGTGGCCACATGTGAACATGCATATGGTCATGTGAGGTTCCATGTGGTAATGTGTGAATATCCATGTGACCACATGTGCATATGGTTGCATGTGACATGCACATGGTCGTGTGAACATGCATATGGTTGTGTGAATATAAATATGGTCCTGTGAACATATAGTTGCGTGTGAACATGCATGTGGTCATGTGTGAACATGCATGTGGTCGTGTGAACATACATATGGTCGTGTGTGAACATGCATGTGGTTTGTTTGATGTATGTGGTCGTGTAATGTGAGCTTGAGGTGCAGCGCCAGGCTGGGATGGGCCTTCCCTGGGTGGTTCATGGGCTCAGTCACTTGATTCAAGAGACAGCTTCCTGAATCCTGGTCCTAAGCCTGTTAGCCTTTGCTTGGCACCAAGAAGCGACTCTGTTGATACTGAATGAGATTCAGATGCCTGAACCTGACCTTCTATACACGTGGCCCTAGTGGATCATTCCAGCCTCAGTTTCCACCTCTCCCCACATGCCTACTAAATGTGTCAGCCAAACCTGACTACTTCCCATTCTGCACTCATACTTTCTCCACCTTGGTGGCCGAATCCTTTGGAGCCCGCCTCTCACATTCAGCTCCCTGTTCTTGGTTATTTGGGCTCCTGTCTCATGTGCTCTATCAGGTTCTAGGCTTTGTAGGAGTGAGTTCTATGTGTCCACTCATTTCTATGTGCCTCATAGGGCTGACTCTTGGGAAGGTCTTCATGGTGACTGAGGCATGGATCCTTAGCCCTGTAGCTTGAATTCACTTGGCACTCAAATATTCAACCTGAAATGATGCTTTGAAAGTGATGCTTCCAGTCAATTAAGGGTCCACTGTATTATGGATTCCCAGCACCCAATATCTAGCACATAAGAAATGAATGAAAAATAGTGAATGAATGAGTGAATGATCTTCAGTATGCCTACAAGGCAAGAGGAAAGTGATCCTACTTACTAGTCATGCTAGGGAGGCATTTGGGACTGTTGGCTCTGCTGTTGCACAATAGGCCTGGGACTCTGAAGGCTGGCATTTCCTCATCCTAAACCTCAAATTTCAATAAATTACCTCCAAGTGGACAAAGGTCCATGAGCCAGGGTTCTTGGTGTAAATAAGCCACTTCTTTTGGGTGTGGTTAATGGACAGGGATTAACAAAACTAAAAACAATGTTTGAGTGCTGACTACCTGTCAGCCATGGTGATGAAGCACTCTGTATACATGACCTTATTCAATGCTCACTACAAACCCATGAAGAAGATTTTTAGAAAAACTTTGTATCTGGAGCATTTTGTACAAGAGGATAGTGTAATGAGCTTTCACCTCCTCGTCAGCAGATTTAAGTATTTGTTAACTCATGGCCAATCTTGTTTCCTGTATACTCCCACCCACTTCTCCTCCTCTTTTGTTATTTTAAAGCAAATCCCGGACATCATATAATTTCATCCATGGATACCTTAGTATGTATCTGTAAAAGAAAAGGACTAAATTTGTTGTTGTTGTTGTTTTTGAAACAGGGTCTCTGTTGTCCAGGTTGGAG